TTGTTCGAATGCCATTTCCGATCGTATACATGCAGGAACCGCTTGTTATTAGGCAATTTCTGTCTTGATTCGTCTTCGGAATCCGATTGCTCAATCGAATGACAATCATTCTGTAGGAGCATTGGTAATAATTCATCTTTATCGAATTCCTGTATGTTGGCATCATTTCTTTTGTATAATTTTATTGCGGCCTTTACTCGTCTATTTTTTTTCTGTCGAATATATAAAGATTAATTTCAAATGACTAAAAAAAAAAGAAGTGTATTAAAATAAAATACTTCTCACTTCGGACAATCGCGCATTTACGTGCATTCTTCGATCTACTTTGTCTAATTGGCCTGATTGTCGTTTCCTTTTTCTATCTCTTTTATGCTTGTGCATCGATCGTAACCAGTCTGACAATTGGGTTACCGACGGATTATAATGTCCACTCATCAACTTCTTTAATTCAGGTATTAATTTTTCGTATATCTTTGCTGTCTGTTCACTTAAAGTCTTACTATAATCCAACCGATATTCTTCGGGTATTTGACCTTTCAAGAGGTTCTTCATTTCAGCCTAAACAATAAGAGGAAATAATAAAATAATAAAAGCTGTATATATACATTAACACAATTCGGCTGCAAATAGTCTTGTAAAATTCTTACTCTTGCATCTGTAGCGGCAACTTCATCAGGAGATTCCTCTTTCGATTTTAATATTTTATTGGGACGTTTTGGTGAATATTGCTACGGAGGATTAATAATCTTTTGAGGTATGTGAAGTTGTTTGGATTGTTGAAGTTCTTCTCGGAGAGCTTTATTTTCTTCACATAATTCATTCGATTCGTTACTAAAAATTTCATTAAAATCTCGTAACATGGAGTTCTCCTCCTCGATCCTACAAACATGGTCTTCTAAATTATCTATTTTTCATTTCATTCCAGCTACTTTGGACTTTTCTTGTTTTAATTCGTTCTGTAGTCGAAGGGTTTCTTTTTTTAAATTTCCTAACTCAAAATTACCTATTTTAAATTATAAGGATATGTAACAAACAGATGTAATATAATAAATATCAAAATATAAAAATAACAAATTCGATTTACCCGCTTCTTCATTACTTGGTCGATCACTTCTTGGTGTTCCTTCTTCGTGATGTGAACGATAACTTTTTGGTACATTAATATTAGGATATTTTTAATAATATCTGAAGCCGTTAAATTTCGTTGAGATTGAGATTGAGTTCGACCTATTGAGGCTGAAATATCTGGCGGAATAACGAGTTTAAAGGGAGATGAAGAAACTGTAGTATTAGTATTTTGTGGTGTTAGTGTTGACGAAGTGGTAATATTACGTGTTGAAGAAGCAATATTTCGTGATGCTGATGCTGACGATCGTGATGCCAGTGTTGAAGTGGCAATATTTGGAGGTGTTGGTGTTGACGAAGTGGCAATATTTGGAGCTGTTGCTGTTGAAGAAGCAATATTTTGTGGTGTTAGTGTTGACGAAGTAGTAATATTTCGTGATGCTGATGTTGACGATCGTGATGCCGGTGTTGAAGAAGCAATATTTCGTGATGCTGATGCTGACGATCATGATGCCGGTGTTGAAGTGGCAATATTTGGAGGTGTTGGTGTTGACAAAGTGGCAATATTTGAAGCTGTTGCTGTTGAAGAAGCAATATTTTGTGGTGTTGATGTTGACGAAGTGGCAATATTTCGTGATGCTAATGCTGACGATCGTGATGCCGGTGTTGAAGTGGCAATATTTGGAGGTGTTGGTGTTGACGAAGTGGCAATATTTTGTGGTGCTGGTGTTGACGACTCAGCAATATTTGGTGGAGGAGTATTTGGTTTCGATGGTTTCTTACGAGTCATTATTTGGTTTTTTTTTTCAAAAAAAAAAGAAAGAGATTTTTTGTACGGACGAGGAAATTGGTCCACCTTTTATATCTATTTTTTACTATCAAATTAGACTCTCAACAATCAACGATCAATTACACTTAAACATTTGTATCAAATTAGACTCTCAACAATCAACGATCAATTACACTTAAACTTTCGCATCAAATTAGACTTTCAATTAATTAAACAGATCAAATCAGACTTAAACTTTTTCATCAATCAGACTTAAACTTTCGCATCAAATTAGACTTTCAATTAATGAAACTGTTAAATCAAATTAAATAGTATGGTGATACGTATGTTTTATTTTTAAATTCCTATACTTATTCAATTTTCGTTCAATTTTTTGTCTATTTCGTCCAATTTTCGTATGGTTTTTTTAATTATACCATCAATATCACTTTAAAAATGGAATATAAAAAATCACAATATTACTAAAAATTCGACATCACTAAAAATTTGATATTAATAATTACAATTTTATTCAACGTAAAAACATATTACAACTTTATCATATCTGACTTTTATCAAAAAATGAATGACGAATATAATAATCTGAGTTCTTCAACCTCTGAACGAACTTATGCCGAATTTACAACCAGAAAACCAAGATCGAAGGTTCCATGCTATTGCAGCAATTGTAATGGGAAAATGATTGATCCGCGCACAAAGGAGAGACACGAGCAAATGAATTCTTTAGAACCATTAAATTCCGATAAGGCTCCAATGTCTCAAGAGTTAGTAGAACTGATTGATTTGACAATATCGTTAGAAGAACCACAAGATACGACAATACCGTTAGTAGAACCACAAGATACGACAATATCTATTGATACATATTCTGATAATGATACGTATGAGGAACAACAATATGTATTTCTTCCACGTAAAAAAAGGTCAAAAACAGGCATACTTCGTCATATTACTGAAGTTAAGCAAGTCGCTGAATCAACTGAATATGACACGGATGATATCTACACTAGTGAATCTTCGGCACAAGAAGATTCTCCTAATAATGATGATAACGAATTTTCAAGTAATTTTGAGAATTATTCTCATCCTATGTTCGACATACCAGATATTTCAGACACACCGAATATTTCAGAATTACCAACAGATGAACTAATTAAGGGAATTTTGATATGGATTATGAAGTTCAGGTCGAGTCATAACATACCAAATACCGCAATTGAAGAATTAATACAATTTATTAAAATAATATTGAAAGTGTGTAAAAATATCAATCCCGAATCATTTCCAAATTCATTATATATGTTAAGAAAAGCGTTAGGACTTATCGATCGATTTACGCAATTTGCAGCTTGCCAAAAATGCCACAAATTATACAAAAAAGAGGATATAATATCAAATGATGATAATACTATTATGAAATGCAGCCATGTCAAATTTCCAAATTCGGCCACAAAGAGATTAAAGCAATGTCAAACTCCTTTAGGAAAGAAAATTTCTTTAAATAATAGTATATCAATTGTTCCTGAATTAATTTATCTTGTCTCGAGTATACAACAGCAGCTTTCTAGTATGTTCAAGCGACCAGGATTTGAAGAATTATTGCGGCATTGGACTCATCGTTCAGTAATTGATAATATTTTATCAGACATATACGAC